CGATATCGGATAACGGTTACATGAGTTTTAAAATATCGGATATCGGCCAAAATCCCAATATCGTGAATCCCCAGTAAATTGTCTTGTTCGATTGGCAAAATCTCTCTTTTTCCTCCTCAATCCAAGAAAAATGCACTTATTTTGAGAAAAAACGACTTATCCAGATTTTGATTGTTTCCCAGTGTACCTGCACGATGACTCTCAATGAGGTCACAAACTGGACAAGGGAAAGCCATCTTTTATAAGCCGCTATATTTAATAACAGTTTCATTGTTATTATTGTACAACTTTACATGTTTTTTTTTTTAACAGACAACAGGGGCAACACACATCAATCAGGTAGTGTGTAAAGACATCGCAACACGTCTGAGGAATGTAATCTTAGAAGGAGTCCGTGGCTCGTTTCTCTTCACACAGTATTTACAAATAGCAAAAATAACCGCGCCTGGACATTAGACAGATGTGTTGATAAGTTTATAGAGCCTTCTTTATAGCCTAGTTACCAGCTTATACATGTATTTATGGCCTTTTTAAAGCACCACAAGTTCAATTCCTGCACAAACTTCTCTGGTTTACATCTTGTTAAACAAAACCAGAGGCCTCAACCTTCATCTTCTGTTGTCTTTGCAAAATGCTGTAAAAAGCGGCAGAATCAGTTACCTTACTTTTACAGGTAATGGTACTGACCCAGTAGTAATGGCACTAAGATCCCCAAAGAGTTTAAAAGGACAGTTTGAACATTGTGGAAGTTTGACAAGTTATCAGAGCCAGTTCCCCTAAAAAAAAATAAGTCAGATTGTAGTGAGATTATAAAAAAAAGGGAGTAGCCGAGTACAATGGAGAGCTACTGCCTAATATGGAAAAAGAAGTTCAACGAAATTCAGCAAAATAGCTCGTAAACTGGCCGCGAAATGTTCTCCTGCAAAACTATACAGGGATGAAATGGAGCCAAATGTCAGAGGAAAAGGAAACTGCCTTTGATGACTCAAATCTAGACCAGCTCTTCAAATGCAAGCGATTTCACCAGCGCCACCATGTGGCCGGATGATGTAAAAATCTGACAACATGAATTCAAGTAAGTTTTAGTACGTCGAGTCGACTAGGATCTGTCCCAGTGTAAAATATCAGTACCTTAAGTTAGTTGGCAGGTAGCATGAAAGTGGGTGTAGGCCTGTGTACGTCGGAGCATCCGTCAGCTAATGCTGTCCAACAACAGCTTTACATACAAGTACTATATGGTTACAAGGTTGACTTCTGAAGTCTGAGAACGTCTTGGTTGTGCGAGCACCTTTACAGAGTTTAAAAACTGGGAAAGTGTCCGAAAAATCTTTTGAAGGCTACTTCGGAAAAACCACAAATTCATTAACGTTCAACCCTGAAAGCTTCACATCTTCCTCGTGTCTCTCATGTTCCGTCTTTGCTAGGAGAGATAAATATTTTAAAAACCCAATAAGGCACATATGGTGTCTCTCAGTAAATAGTTGAAACAGACTGAAGATGAAATGAGCAGAATATTTGTAGCGTAGGAAAGAATGACCAGACAGAGAAGTTTGTAACTGACCAATGAGAAACAAGAGTAATTAGTCAAACAGGGTCTGAGGCAGCAGTAGCAATAAAAATATGGCTAAATGCAGAAAATGTTTGCATATTCATCTTAAAAGTATCTCTCCTTTGAAACGTTCTCCGTCTCAGCTCCATTCAGCAAAATGTACAACATATGACAGCAACTCTTCTCAATGCACACAGCAGCGCAAACTAACACCAAAAAACAAAGTGCAGATGTGGATGCAGAAAACGAGAGCCCTGTTTGCCTTCACTGCTCAGTCGACGGCTTTGGCAGTGAGGGGTTCAGTCTCTGAGGAGTCTTCCTGTGGAAACACAACATAACACAGCTTCTGGCCCAGGTACGTCACCCTTTCTGCAAGACAACAGAGGTCAGAGCTGAGAGGATTTTCTTCCAACGGAGAAACACTTCAGGGGGAAACGGTAAACAGTTAAAGCTTACCGAGCAGGATGTAAATCCATTTGGGTTTTTCCTTCCACTGAACTCCCACAAAGTAAACGGGGACACCAGTCAGCATGATGACCATCCCCAGGCCACACACCACCGGCTCAGAGTACAAACTGCAGCCCAGCAACACGGCCCAGAAAATCAGGTAGGTGATGGGGACCAACAGGTTTACCTGCACGGAAGAAAAACAGGCACAAATCTTAACATCCGTTACTTACACACAACATGCTGAGATTAAATAATAATTTTTATTTTTTATTTATCCTTTATTTAACCGGGTAATACCCATTGAGATTAAAAATCTCTTTTGCAAGGGAGACCTGGCCAAGATAGGCATCAAAATTACATCACATCATTACATACGTACAAAGACACACACACATAAAAGCCAAATATGCACTTACAATAAAATTTCAATTAAAACATTGACTTGTGAGGGAGTCCAACTCAAAACATCTCATTCTCAGCTTAAAAGTATTCAAAGGAACCAATTTACTACGTTTCAAGTTATTGAATGCATATATAATATATCACCATAGTCCAGCACAGTTAAAAAAGTGGATGCCACCAACCGTTTTTACATTAAAAGAAAAGGACAGCTTATTTCGAAAATAAAAACCCAATTTTAGTCTCAAACATCCAAATATGACATATACTAAATATAAAATAAACCAGGCAGCTAGGATAAGAATGCATTTGAAGAAAAAAAAAAAATACTAAAATAAAATCCACACAAATTACAAGTCCAAAGAAAATATGCAAGTCTCCATTTAGGACACTAGATGGCAGCAAATATTGGAGTCTGCCTATGAAGGTTACTTGATTGTGGATAAGTAATGTCACAGATCTCTGTCATCATGTCCTGATCAGTAAATCTATCAACTGGTGGACGTATGAAATGTTCTTATTAGGGCTACAACATTCCTGACACATGGACACTGAGTGAGATAAAAAGCATCAGCTGTACCTTAATGGGTCTGGCCAGGTTGGGTCTCTTTTTACGCAGGTAAAGCAGGCCAGCGATGGTTACCCCATAGGACAGGTAGTTGATGAAGGACACGTAATTGATCAGGTTGTGCGTCTCTCCAAGGCACAGGATGAGTACCGTGGCAAGGCACTGGAGGACAAACAGAAGGTACATGTTAAACTAAAATAAGAAAACACACCAATTAGTACTTAAATAAGTTTTCTAGAATGTAATAAACATGAAGAGCACTTACACAGACGAGCAGAGCAGGGATTGGTGTGCAGTTTTTCAGATGGATCATAGCCAGGAGGTATGGCAGATGACCTTCTCTGGCTCCAGAGAAGCATAATCTAAAAATAAAGAAAATAATATAATAACTTAGTGTTTTATAGACTGTGCCATTTTTATTCCATGAGGCATTTAACATACAAAATTAAAAGACTTTAAACATTATTGAAGCAGTAATAAAATCCTTGCGGAGGTTCTGTTGTACCTGGAAGAAGTGAACAAATATCCGTTGATTCCTCCGAAGGTGGACAGAGCTACAGAGATGGGCATCACCCAGGAAAACATGCCCAGCAGCTTTTCTCCAAAAGTCTGAAACAAAACAACAAAAGATGTTTTAGAAAAGCGGGGAATCCACCCCTCGCTAAACTCAAGCCTGACAGAAGTATTCACACCCCCTTAAAAGGTGGCACATTACAAACAACAGCTTCAAAGCAGGAATAGTTTGAGCTCACCACTGCAACAGCGTTAGAGGTGAGCAGCTCCTCTGGAGTCATGGAGGTGAAGTAGGCGATGTTGGTCAAGGTGTAGACCAGCGTCACCAGTGGGATAGAGATGTAGATGGCAAGGGGCAGGTTCTTGCGCGGCTCCACGACCTCCTCTGTGACGTAGTTGAGAAAATTCCAGCCGCTGTAGGCAAAGGAGGCTTGTAGGAAGGCCAGGGCTATCTGTCCAAACGAGGGATCCTGACTGAACTCAAAGGCCGCGCTGGGCACCAGGGCATCGTAGTGACCTGGGGGGAGACGGAGGAAGGACGATCTTTTAACTTTAGTAAAGCTAACTTTAGTATTCCCGTCACTCTGTTTCATACATCTGTGTTTACCTTTGAAGATCTGCACCAGTCCGACCACGATGATGAGCGCTAGAGCCAGAAGCTTCCCTACAGTGAAAATATCCTGAATCCTTGTTGCCCAGCGAACACTGGAGCAGTTCACCCAGGTCAGGAACACTGTCCACACAAAAACATACAAACTAAAGTTATACAGCACATCTCATTCAACAGTAGCCT